TAAGATATGCTAGATTTTATTTTATTGGTTTTCACATATACATGTATATAGTAAGTACCTATAGCAGTCAAGGTTAGCTAAAGGTAATTATTATGTTCTTATGTACTTTGTTATATAATTTGATGTGTAATTGCAGGATCCGTCGCTAGGTCCTGGCGGCAAGCAGAAGATCCATCAGTTCCTCGTGCGAACATTCAGCAGCCCCACCAAATGTAACCACTGCACATCGCTCATGGTGAGATTTTTGACTGTATGGGAGACTAACTTTAGGCAGAAACTCCGTCCGCGTGAAATTAAAAAACAACACAAAACAAAAATGAGTAACCTATGTTTTCTTCCAGGCTATTTTCTATGTCTATTCCAGATTTCATCGAGATCAGTTTAGCCGTTTAGGCTACAAACAAACATCCATCCATTCCATCTAAACTTTAAAAAAAACTTCCCTATTGTTGTCATAAAAAATAGAATACAATTTTTTATGCATTAATGTTTACATAAATTTATACAGTAGAAACTCGATAACTCAAACCTCGGTAACTTAAAAACCTCTATAACTTCAAAAAATAATATGTTCTCTTTCCATCAGAGTCCAAAACCTTTACACCATAGTCCCTTGATAACTTAAAACCTCTATAACTTAAAATATTTTGTGTTTCCCTTGAACTTTAACTTATCGAGGTTCTACTATACTTTCGCATTTGTAATATTAGTAGAAATAACTTATTTCTGTGTGTGCAGATCGGTCTGACGCGGCAAGGCGTGGTGTGCGAGACGTGCGGGCTGGCGGTGCACACGCGCTGCTGCGGGCGCGTGGCCGCGCGCTGCCCGCTGCCGCCCGAGCGCAGCCGCCGCCCGCTCGGCATCGACCCCGCGCGTGGACAGGGCACCGCCTGCTAGGGATACGTCAAGGTCACATCCGGCTCCAAGGACCATACTTACACTGCTTTATTTATTAAATTCTCGCATATAAGGGATACGTCAAGGTCACATCCGACTCAAAGGACCATACACTAGCTTTAATTTCTCGCGATTTTGTCCGCGTCAAATTAAATAAATAAATAAAAACATAACCTATGCTACTCTTTGATAACGTAGCTTTTTTGATATCAGCCCCATGGCTTTAAATTTGTTTCAATACATACAAAAATACAAATTATTCTTTATAGTAATATTAGTATAGGCATAAAAAACTTACACAATTTGCTCTAAATTAATATACGGAAACCTAATAATCAATCAAAGACATCTTAATTTTTTGACCGACTTCCAAAAGAAGGAGGTACTCAATTCGTCTGTATGTTTTTTTTTATTAGTAAATTAACTTAAAAAATGTTGTAAACAGGTACCAAAGCCGGGCGGAGTAAAGAAAGGTTGGATGCGGCAGTTTGTTGTTGTTTGCGACTTCAAATTATTCCTCTACGATATATCTCAAGATAGGTAAATGTGTAAACACTAATATTTCGTAATTTTCATAAGTTTAGTAATAATTCAAAAAACGTCATCTTTACTAATATAATGAAGTGTAAACACACATTTCTTTGTTATGTTGGGATTATCCCCAACCGTCACCCCGCTCTGTCCCCACGTGAGAATAAAAAGTTTCATCCGTCCTACCTTTGTGTCCCACTATGATAATGGTGACCCAATAATGGCACACATGGAACCGTTATGAAATAAAATAAATTACAACCGTCCCCTCATCTCAAATGGTGGGTCAAATGAGTCTTTATTCTCATCTGTCCTCACGTGGGGACAGAGCGGGGTGACGGTTGGGAATAATCCTTATGTAGGATGTCAGCAATCACAGTATATTATTGAATATACATTTACGACAGGATTTAGGCTACACATTTTCACGCTATTAAACTTAGGGAGTAAATAATTTGGAAAAAACTGAAATTCGGGAAAGAGTCTAAAACTGCAAACTGACAACCTAAAGGTTGTCTTTGTACATTTGAATATTTGACAAATGTAAACCATAAAATAAAGTTGTTATAATTTAATGCGGATGAAGCCGCACGGAAACAGCTAGTAATATATTTATGTATATAGGAACGCGTTGCCGTCAGTTTGTGTCAGTCAAGTACTGGACATGCGGGACCCGGAGTTCAGCGTGACGTCAGTGAAGGACTCTGACGTCATACACGCCAGCAAACGAGATATACCGTGCATATTTAGGGTAAGTTGTACTAAGATATATTTTTGCACGAAATCTAAATACAGTAGGACCTCGATAGCTTAAACCTTAGTAACTTAAAAACCTCTATAACTTCAAAAAATAATATGTTCCCTTCCCATCAGAGCCCAAAACCTCTATAACATAGACCCTTGATAACTTAAGACCTCTATAACTTAAAATATTTTGTGTTTCCCCTGGACTTTAACTTATCGAGGTTCTACTGTATTATAAAAGTTAGTCAGTTAAAGCTGTTAAAACTTTGCATCGGTCAACTTATATTGGACATTGACATTTGAAATGTAATGCATTTAGGTACAGTTTATTACAAGAAAATAACGAAAAATACATTCAGTTCTTGTCAATAATTTCTGAGATTAGCGTCCGCAAACCCATAGACAAACAGACATAAATTCGTCGTTAAACACTGGGCTCGTTATTGTCTCTTTCATTTTTATATTCAAATTCGAACATCTGTGGCTTATGGGCTGTAATCTATAGGCCCTGGGTTTAAATCCCAGCAACCAATGTGTCTTTTTTTCTATACATTTATAAGACGTTCTTATGAAAGTAAACATACACATATTGGTAATGTACCGATATGTGTAAAAAACCCGGTCTGGGTTTGTGTTGATTACAGCCTAATTACCCTTATAGGGTAGGATCAATGATTTAGGGCCTGTCCCACCACTGGCTGATAGAGGCTCAGATAGCTTAAGTCACTGGTTAAGGATAACAAAATCCGATATATTTTTTTTATAATCCACAATCGCAGATGCGTTGCCTACCCTTATACGACGGAGGAGGAGACGCACATAGAGAGGATATTTCCCCTTCCTATGCATCTCCTCCATCGTCAAATCCACTTCCCCTTCCCAACCTCTCCTTATAAGAAAAGGATGGTAAAGAGAAAGGGATTTAAATTAGGATTTTTCACATATTTTACACGTTGGATTCGTTATCAGATAATTTACAATTTACTGGGACAGGTGTTTATTATATATGTATAGTTTTTAATTATTTATTTATCTTGTAATAGATATCAACGTCTCAACTGGAAGGCGGCAAGAGATACCATACTCTGATGTTGGCGGAGTCCGAGTCCGAGAAGACCAAGTGGGTGGTCGCGTTGAGTGAATTGCATAGGATATTGAAAAGGAACAATCTGCCTGATAAATGTGTAAGTATTAGTTAAATATTTTTTATGTTTTTCGGATGTCCATGGGCGTCGTTGACCAATCTGTGTTCCCGTCGATCGTTTGCCCATTTCTCATATAAAAAAATGCATACTATTATAATAATGGGTAAACACACTCTACTTTGTGACGTAAGATGTCAGCAATCACAGCATGTTTTTGAATAATTCTTGTTTTATTAAAAGAAGCTCTACACTTACAAAACGCTTTGAGCTATATGTTTTCATGCTATTAAACTTAGGGGGTAAATAAATTGGAAATAACCTTCATGTGCGAAAGGGACCATAAAGTACAAGCTGACATTAAGGAAGCAAGATTGCTAGAAACGGTAATTGTTATTCAGCGTCAAAGGCGTTTGTTGACATTTGTGTATTTGAATTTTGACATTTATTATAATACAATAGAGTTTTTGTAATATATAAGAGGATATCTCTTTCACACAATCAATCCATACTTACTTCTGTCTTCCTCTCACAGGGCGCCACACTAGTTTGGACACCAGTCCCCTACCTAAAGGGGAAACCAGTAAATTTATTTCTATTTCTTAATTTGTAGCCATTGTTCAACTTGTTATCGACAGTGCGGCAGTCAAAAATATAAAACAAACTTTTAATTCCAACTAAAACAAATTTATTCAAATTTATTAACAAATTTACAATTTTGTAACAAACCTATATCGTGATCACATCTTGTCTTTATGCGTCCCTTTCTTTTGTTTTTTTATCATTTTTTCTTTAATACTTAAACACTGCAATGTCTCGGTGGCCAGTATGCAACACTTAGGCTGTATACACACTTGTCAGCCAAAGAAGTTGTGTCTTGCACTGACCTATCTATCTGCATTGAATGAACAATCTTACTAATATTATGAATTCGAAAGTTTCGATGCATGGATGGATGGATGTTTGTTAGAGTTTGTAGCCTAAACGGCTTAACGAATTTCGATGAAATTTGGTATAGATGTAGAGGATAGTCTGGAAGAACACATGGCTATTCACTTTTGTTTTTTAATTTGACGCGGCCGG